TAAGATTTGAAATCTTAGTAGAAAATGAAATAGAATGAGATTCTGATTTCCTATTTATAGACTGTTGCAGACTAATGGGCTGAAACCCAGTTTAGCTTAACTTATAGGATAGCACAACTCATAAAGTGGGTGGGTCGCAAGGTGATTTTAAGCGTAAGCCTAATCGGGATTGGGTTGAGGCCTTGGGTCGTGACATGTTTATTTCGTTATTAGGCCTCGTCAAGCCCAAGACATTTTTTGGCCCTAACAGTTAGCCCCCCACTTTCTAAGTTAAAGAGTATTTAGCTTAGAGAGTAGATTTAATCGAATGAGTGCAGACTGAGCGGATTAGTGATAGCAGCTCGTTAGGTCGGATGGATCATTGTGTGGATTGGGTCAATGACTTGTCGATTTGAGGTGCAAGAACCCTTCAACCGGTCTGGTCGACTGAATGTGTAACTTTATGGATTGGGCAAGGCCGATCGAAGGTGTGAATCTGTGGATTGAGCAAGGTTGATCAGAAGGTGTAAATTCATGGATCGGCAGGGCCGATCCGAAGGTGTAAATCCGTGGATCGGGCATGGTCGATCTGAAGGTGTAGATCCGTGGATCGAGCAGGGTCAATCCGAAGGTGTAGATCCGTGGATCGAGCAGGGTCGATCCGAAGGTGTAAATCCATGGATCGGGCAGGGTCGATCCAAAGGTGTAAATCCGTGGATTAGGCAGGATCGATCCGAATGTGTAAATCCGTGGATCGGACAGGGCCGATCCGAAGGTGTAAATTCATGGATCGGGTAAGACCGATCCGATGGTGTATGCCAAGTAGAGCTTGTATGGAGCTTGCAGTAGAGTCGGCGTGATCAACTTGTAGTTGAAACCTTTGAGGGCTATGTGGCCCAGTCGGCGTGACCGACTTTGTAGTTGAAAACATTCGATTGAAGCTGGAGCAGTGACATGCATGTTTTAAGCAAATAGTCGAATTGAGAGTTAATATGCATGATGTGCATGTGTTATGGATTGAATAAAGAGTGAGCTAAATGGAAAAATGGGCTGCATGTATTTAAGTAATGGGCCGAATAGAGAAAGATTTAACCAAATAGAGTGGTAGTTAAAAGGAGACAATGACACATACCTTTCCCCTTCAAGTGCCGCCACCCATGCTTGCTAGACCGAGTGGAGAGAGTGGTGTTACTTTCTATGTCGGAGCTGAACCAGTTGAAGTTGAGTGGGCAAGTGATTCACTTTTGGGCTGATCCGAATGGGCACATACAACGTTGATATTGTATGTGCAAACCCAAATATTATTGAGTGGACTACTCGTGTTGTTTAGTGGTGTTGAGTTGTAGTGGGGAGTGGAAAGTTTGCAAATAGCGGGGAGCATGAGGGCTTTTGTGACAGGTGTGCTGGAGATTGTGATGTGAAGGTGGTTTGAGTTGATATGTATTTGTTGGGAAGGGGCAATGGTTCGAGTTTGGAGTTTTGGAATACGATGGGATAAGGAGATTAGGTGAGAGTGGGGTGGCGTCACTTAAGTAGGTTTTGTTTGGGGAGTTTCTCTTCGTGTTTAGTAGATGACTTTAGGTGTTTTGAGAGGATTACTACTGTGTTTTTAGGATTTTACTGTGTGATTGGAGAAGCTGTTAGGGCGATTTTAGGAGAACAGATGGACGGGTTTTGGGTTTCAAAGTGGTGGCAAATCTCCGTGAAGTTGAATTGGGATTGGATCAAGGCTGGTCGAGTTTGAGTTACCTTCTAATAGAGCGGAGGTCCTGGAGATGCTGGCGTATTGCGGCATCTTCTTGAATGAACAAATTGACTGGTTCTGTGGCGGGTAATGCATTGCAAAGCTTTGATGACGCTGGCGAACCACCTGGTGGTTTGATGATTGAAGTGAAAAGGCGCGTGCAGAGAGGTTAGAGACAGAAGCTATTGCCTTATCTGAACAGAGGATTAGAGAAGAGAGATTGTTGAAGCAAAGTCAATGAATTAAGTAGTTTAGGAACACCACTTTAAACTCTAACACATTATTATTCTATTATTAATTTAGAATAATAATATGAAGCTATTATTAATTTAGAACAATAATATGAGCTTCAAGGTCTTATACTACCCGTTGAATGGATATAATATAAAATAAATTAGGATATGCTGAATAGATATAATATGGCATGTGAATAGATAAAACAAACGAAGAAAAATAGAGAAAAAAAAAATTCTTATCATGATGAGATTTTCTGATTAACATTGTCAGTCAAAAGGAGTTTCGTATCGCCTCCCATGTTGTAAGTCGTCGTTGGCAGATGATTGTCAAGGCCTCACGATGGGTGCCAAACTGTAGTTGCAAAAAATCTACCATCATAAAATAGGGTCTTATCCCGTGAGGTTGAGGCCACTAACAATCCGCTAGACCTACACACATGAAAGGGCAAGCGTGAAGCTTCTGGAAAACACCAGGGTGGTGTTTGCCGTAGGCACTCCGACGCTCAAGTCAGCGAGGCTGAAAAAGATTATTTGATAAGAATTAAGGAGATGAAGAGTTACCAGGAGTCTTGTCGGAGGCTAGGACTACGGCGGAGGCGTCGGGTTCTTGGGAGCAAGAACTTTAAGAGCAAATAGATGATTTTGAATAGTGTAGATTGACTGTGGGAGATTGCCTTTTTTAATGAGAGGGCAAGCCTCTGTTTTTATAGTGAACCCAAGGGGTTAGAATCCTAGTAGGACATTGAGTCCTCTTTTTTGGGAGATAATCCCTATCAAGAAAGAAATATGATTTCTTGACCTTATCAGATTAAGTTTAATAGTTTAAATAAGATTTGGAATCTTAGTAGGACACTAAGTCCTATTTTGGGAGATAATCCCTATCATGAAAGAGATATGATTTCTTGACCTTATTAGATCAAGTTTAATAGTTTGAGGAAGATTTGAAATCTTAGTAGAAAATGAAATAAAATGAGATTCTGATTTCCTATTTATAGACTGTTGTAGGCTAATGGGTTGAAACACAGTTTAGCTTAACTTATAGGATAGCCCAACTCATAGAGTGGGTAGGTCGCAAGGTGATTTTAAGCGTAGGCCCAATCGGGATTGGGTTGAGGCCTTGGGCCGTGACATGTTTATTTCGTTATTGGGCCTCGTCAAGCCCAAGACGACTTTTGGCCCTAACAGGTAGTGTATCTTTGATTTGTAGATGCAGTTTTGATTAGAATAGAAGGTGAGATTATGTTGTTTAATGGATCAATGCTCTGGCTGATTGGGATTGTAACTCTATGGATACGAGAATACTATTCCATAGATATGGAATTCATGACTCCGAAAGGTTTAAGGGATACCATCTTATGGGTTTTACAAGGTCCTTAATGATGAGACTTGGCCAAGCGTTTAATGAAGTGTTAATTAAACATTTATTATTCAGTGGATGTAAAACTAAAAGCAAGGAAAAGACTTAACCGGAAGGGTATATTGATATATTGACCCAGTTCCGGTTATCGGTGTTCCATGGGTGTATATGTGTAGTTGTACCTAAATAAATAGCTTTGATGAAATAATTTAATCGGATTAAATTATTAAAGTTTCTGATAAACAGAATGTTTAATTCAGGAGTGCAACATTGTCCCTATAGTGGAGTCGGACAACGGTAACACGTCTGGTACCTTATGCTTATGAGATGAAGAGGGACGAACCGAATATGTTGAAGCCTAATATTAAACATTCCCATTTGGGTCCCTTAAGTAGCCGGTAAAAGTTATCCTAGACAATATGTGTGAAAAATAAATTATTTTAATTTAGTTTGAACTATTTAGAATAGTTCGGGAAATTGAATTAGGCAAGTTACGGAAGGTATTCAGAGACATTTATTAAATAGTTTAATATATTTATGGAGAATGGCTTACATGATTGTCATGTCAAATATGAGATAGTAGTGGGCTAAATCATGTTATGATTAGTGGCAGAATGCTTGCATGAATATCATGTAAAATTTTGGACTAATTCTCTCCTCCATGGCCGAACCTTGTTGCTTTCTTTTCTTTTGATTTGTAGTGTTAAAATTTAGTTTTAAACACAAATTAATAAAGGATTCACATATACTAGGTTGGAAACTGTTCCGAAAGCGTCGACACCCACTCGTTATGTCTAGGAAGCTTCGGATATACTTTAGGAAGGTTCATTGGGGCTGAAACTTCATTGGAAGGTAACATATATTCACATATCTAGTTTAAATAACTCATTTTAATTGATCTTGGGCATAGTTTAGAGTTAGCCGAATATTGCATATTGTGTGTGTTCGACAACTCCTTGTTTTATTCCATTGACTGCAGACCATGCATGTATTTTAACTATGTCCTTGACATTGTATCTTTCCACATATGAACCCCTCATATGTCCAATTCAATGTTTGATTTAATATATTTTAGGACATCCAGTTTACTTGCATATATTCAACAAATGAACATAAATAGGAACACAATTTTAATAACATAAAATAAAATTCATTTATTACTTAATCAAAATGTCGTTAATACATAAAAAGTATCTAACCCTAGGGCATAGATCCTAACAGGTCTCATCATGTGGGTCTCTTATACTGATCAAGGATTGAGTTGGACTAGTTAACGATAGTGGTAATGTCGAATATAATGAGAACATCACACGAGTGGCCCAAATACCGATCAAAAGGGATGAGTCAGATTTGTATTGAATGCTTGAAAGACATTTTAAACGAGTGAGATTTGTTAATTATGTACTCACTCATGACTCAACACAATTCACAAGTATAATATAATATATTCAGGAATTGCATAAAACTTAAATTCAAAAATATAAATATTGAAATTCAATTTCTAAATCCTGGACGTTTACCTGATATTGAATGCCTTCAACAAGAGGGGTGAACTTTATTTTATTTTTTTAACCTCTTTAATATAATAAAATGTCCAATTTAATGAACCATTTGGAGGCAGAATTGCTTCAGGCACGTTGAAGGGGAAACTAAAAACTGTCGAACCGATGGAGAAATTCAAGGGAAATAAATACTTCATCTATTGATCTATTGATTAGCTACATTTGAAATGGTGGAATTGCTATTCATATGAACAGCACTCATCCAAAAAGCAGGCCGCCCATACATATGCTTAATTGGAAGTCAACTACACATACATCTACTTTCTATATATAGTAAAAATTGCAGATGATAGATGAAGTTTGTATCAGAGTTAAAACACTATCTCTATCTAAAACCACAAATGTCATTCCTTGTTTTCCTCCAGAACTGGAGGAAGACTGCGCTCCCGGTTGTTACCTCCATTGTGAGGTTTTCGGAAATATTTAACGAGGAAATCATCAGCAAGGTCAGGATACTTTCCTCTGATGAAATTGTCGAGGCACTTGCGATACGAGAAGTCATTGCTGCTGCCATCACTAGACACAACATAGAAGCATCTAGTATCCTGAAATCTGATGTGCTTGTTAACCTGTCATAGAAAAGGCCCCATTTAAAAAAATCCCATATAAAGTTTCATTTCTTGTATAAATAAATAATATGGAAATTGCTAAGTTACTCACCCAGTAATCTTACTGAGAGGTAGCACATGGAAATACCCAGTAAGGTTACTGGGTGGGTGGATACTGTAGTATTGCTCACATAATATAACATACTGTCCATTGTCCAAACCATAATTTGTGAGTACCATATGGCTCAGGAAAGGGCCCAAAGCTTTGAAAATTTTAAGTTTTGACTTTTGATAAAAAAAAAACAACGTTAAGAAACTCACAGGAAAAGCTTGAGATGGTTACAAACTTTATCACATATAAAATATCCTAAAAGCTCGAGATGAGTACAAACTTATCACATATTATATATCCTAAAAGCTTGAGATGAGTATACAAACTTGTTACACAAAATGTATCATACCGATCCCAGTTTCGGTTCAATTATTTTTTTGAACAAAAAATCGGTTCGGTTCAAGTTTTCGGTTAATCGGTTTTTTCACCCCTATGTAGATCCATGGATTGAGTAGGGTCAATCTGAAGGTATAAATCTGTGGATCAAGCAGGGTCGATCCGAAGGTGTACATCCGTGAATCGGGCAGGGCCGATCTGAAGGTGTACATCCGTGGATCGAGCAAGGTCGATCCGAAGGTGTAGATTCATGGATTGGGCAAGGTCGATCCGAAGGTATAAATCCGTGGATCGGGCAGGGTCGATCCAAAGGTATAAATCCGTGGATCGGGCAGGGTCGATTCGAAGGTGTAAATCCGCGGATCGAGCAGGGCCGATCTGAAGGTGTAGATCCGTGGATTGAGCAGGGTCGATCCGAAGGTGTAAATCCATGGATTGAGCAGGGTCGATCCGAAGGTGTAAATCTGTGGATCGGGCATGGCCGATCCGAAGGTGTAGATCCGTGGATTGTGCAGGGTCAATCCGAAGGTGTAAATCTATAGATCGAGCAGGGTCAATCCGAATGTGTAAATTTGTGGATCGAGTAGGGTCGATCCGAAGGTGTAAATCTATGGATCGGGCAGGGCCGATTTGAAGGTGTAGATCCGTGGATCGGGCAGGGCCAATCTGAAGGTGTAAATCTGTGGATCTAGCAAGGTCGATCCAAAAATGTAAATCCGTTGATCGGGCAGGGCTGATCCGAAGATGTAGATCCGTGGATCAGGTAGGGTCGAACCGAAGGTGTAGATCTGTGGATTGAATAGGGTCAATCCAAAGGTGTAAATCCGTGGATCGAGTAGGATCGATCCGAAGATGTAAATCTGTAGATCGGGCAGGGCCGATCCGAAGGTGTAGATCCGTGGATTGAGCAGGGTCAATCCGAAGGTGTATGCCAAGTGGAGCTTATATAGAGCTTGTAGTCGAGTTGGCGTGACCGACTTGTAATTGAATCCTTTGAGGGCTATGTGGCCCAGTCGGCGTGACCGACTTTGTAGTTGAAAACATTTGATTGAAGCTGGAGCAGTGACATGCATGTTTTAAGCAAAGAGTCGAATTGAGAGTCAATATGCATGATGTGCATGTGTTATGGACTAAATGAAGAGTAAGTTAAATGGAAAAATGGGCTGCATGTATTTAAGTAATGGGCCGAATAGAGAAATATTTAACCAAATAGAGTGATAGTTAAAAGGAGATAATGACACATACCTTTCCCCTTCAAGTGCTGCCACCCATGCTTGCTGAACCGAGTGTAGCATTTGACAACATGGACGAGGCGATAGACTGAGCCGTGTGGAATGAAACAAGCAATTTCAGAACCCCCTATATGGCTAGTGCGTAGTAGACCAAGTGGATGTCGTCTTTACTCTTTCGGCATATTGGCATTTTACTCTCGGTTTGGCTTGGTTACGTCGATTGAGCCGAATGGAGAAGTGAAGGTATATGAACAGAAAGGAGGCAACAAGGTCGAGTGTGGCTTATGGAACCTAATAGAGAAAAATCTGGAATGTTCTAATTTACATGATTGATACATGACTGCCAAAATGTTTGGTGTAAAACACCATTCGACATATGGAGCTGAGAGGAACTTTTACTGTCTGGCCAAGCTGAAAGCAGCTCAATTGAGTAGGTGCTTCGTGGAGGAAGAGCCGAACAAGTTTCAGGTGATGCTAACATTGACTAGTGAGTGGTGACCATAAGGGAGGTGTATAGTCTATTACTTAACGTCTACTTGGCCAGGCAAGACCAAGTGGTGCTGTTGACTGTCTGAATTTCGGCAAGCAAAACAATTTTCAAATAAAGCTTTGATTCATTTGGCCTCTTTGTCAAAGAGTATCAAAGCATGTGGGCATAACACGGGGAATCTGGATTAATTGCGCAAGAGGTAGTAATGAAAAGCTCCAAAGTTTTGACATGTGGCATTTTTGAAATGTTGTGCATTGAATGGCATAAAAAGGTGTTTCAACTTTGACTTTCAAAACCATTCGCTTTCCTTCATTTCTTTTTGCTTTGAAAGAGGGCTTCTTTATTTTTCTTTGGAAAGAATAATTTGGGAGAGAATTCTTACGACTGAAGATTTCCTAGACGCGTTTCTTCGAGATTTCTTGGCAAAGTTCTTATTCTTTTGCTTTTTCTATGATTCTTTTTGAATTCCAAAAAGGTGTTGAAGTGTTTTAGCGATTCTTGGGGAGTTTTGATATTGGGTTTCGAAGGAGGCGATGGGTTTTATGAGTCTATTGAGCTTTGTGTATTTTTGGAAGAGAAGGCGAAAAAGAATCATAGTAAAAGAGTCTTTAGTGTTAGTTTTCTTCTGGTGGGTTTTGGTGGATTCCTCGTGGGTTCTCGATCTTGAAGGAGCAAGTAGGAGAGTTATGTGCTTCTACGATTTGGGTAGTGGTTTGAGGTGTGAAGCACAAAGCTGAATATTCCCCTGAAAAAGTTAATTGGAATGTGCCCACTTTGCATAGCCGAATAACATCTTTACTTTATCTTTATTGCTAAAAAGAAAAAGACAGTCATATGAACTTATTACGAACATGGGAGACGTGTTTTGAGGCTTCAAGGGATCATACTACTTGGGGGATAATCACAATATAAAACAAATTATGACATGCCGAAATAAATCTAATATGATGTGAATAGGTAACAAAAAGAAAAGTAAAGAAAAAAATTTCTTATCGTGATGAAACTTTCTGATTGAGGATTTTAGTCAGTGGGAGTTATGTGTCTCCTCTCATGTTGCAAGTCGTCGTTGGCAGATGATTGTCAGGGCCCTACAGTGGATGCCAAATTGTAGATGCAAAAAATCTACCATCATGAAAATAGGGTCTGATCCCATGAGGTTAAGGCTACTGACAATTCGCTAGACCTGCACACATGAAAAGGCAAGAGTGAAGCTTCCGGAAAACACCGGAGTGGTGTTTACCGTAGACACTCCGACGCTCAAGTCAGCAAGGCTGAAAGAGATTATTTGATAAGAATTAAGGTGATGAAGAATTACCAGGAGTCTTGTCGGAAGATAGGACTACGACGGAGGCGTCAGGTTCTTGGGAGCAAGAACTTTAAGAGCAAATAGATGGTTTTGAGTAGTTTAGATTGACTATAGGAGATTGTCTGCCTAATGAGAAGACAAACCTCTGTTTTTATAGTGAACCCAAGGGGTTGGAATCCTAGTAGTACATTGAGTCCTCCTTTCTGGGAGATAATTCTTATCAAAAAAGAAATATGATTTCTTGATCTTATCAGATTAAGTTTAATAGTTTAAATAAGATTTGGAATCTTAATAGGACACTAAGTCCTATTTTGGGAGATAATCCCTATCATGAAAAAGATATGATTTCTTGACCTTATCAGATCAAGTTTAATAGTTTAAGTAAGATTTTAAATCTTAGTAGAAGAGGAAATAGAATAGGATTTTGATTTCCTATTTATAGATTGTTGCAGGCTAATAGGCTGAAACCTAGTTTAGCTTAACTCATAGGATAGTCCAACTCATAGAGTGGGTAGGTCGCAAGGTGATGTTAAGCGTAGGCCTAATCGAGATTGGGTTGAGGCCTTGGGCCTTCACATGTTTATTTAGTTATTGGGCCTCGTCAAGCCCAAGACGTTTTTTGGCCCTAACATACTCCTAATTATATTGTATGTGCATCTGTTACACATAAGTATTTTCTCCTGCTAAGTATAGTTAAATAATCATAAATATAAAGCTCTTAGAAATCCCTTTTTTGTGTCTAATGACTTGTCAAAACTATTATGTCCAATAAACTTTAGTGTTCCTCCAAATCTAGTGTGGGAGTAAACACAAAAATAAAGGTAACTAGTAACCATGTCCCTATTTACAAGGCAAATATTCTATTTAATCAAGGGGATAAACCCTATCTTTTTATTTGCATTATATAATTAAACAATAAAAATGGTCTTAAAATTTGGGTATGATGTTGTTAGCAAAAGAAGTTGGGGGAGACTAGGCATATGATTGCCATGAGGACGCCCCAGTCATTGAATTGGACAACTCAACTCTCTTGGAAGCACTTTGTGAGGAGAAAAGTGGATTCCAACTTTAAGAGATGCATAAACAAATATATGTTAAAAAAAAGCACTTTAGGGGTTTATTATATACAAGCAAGGGCTAGAAGTAGAAGCCAACAACTACAAAAAGCACTTTTTAGCATACATTATTCTAAGGTATTGGTGACATTTTATTTGCAATTATTTAATAGTTTAAGCAATTCTATTAATTCGTTATAGAATGTGGACTTGTTCAAGGAAAAGTGCTGGTGAAATTGCTTTGTTAATGTTAACTTAATGTTGACTATTTCTCTTTCAATCTCCTAAAAATATAACCATTTTTAACTACCTCAAAGAAATTGGTTGGTGTTGAGCTACTTTTCTTGTTAGCTAACTTCTTAAAAATATGTTTTATCAGCTCTTATGATAAGATTACTAAACGTTTTTGTCTCTAGTTTCGTATTGGATTTACAAAGTTCTAGAGATTTATGGATTATAACCCATTCGTCAGTAGTTCATATGGTTAGGGCGAATCAGGGATAGTGTAAAAAATCGTACAATCTCAAGTTCGATTTTTCATCTGAGCATTCGCGATTTAAGCATGGGGTCATGGCGGTGGGTTGTTACGCTAGTCTCCCCCAAGAATTAGTCGAGGTGCGCGTAAGTTGACTTTGACACTTTGGTTATAAAAAATAATAATAATAAATAATGGATGGATTATAATTTTATAAGCATCAATTTGGTCATCATTCTAGTGTGGAAA